GTTCTTCCGGTCCATATCCTTCCCAGTCCACTAAGTACTGGAACCCCCTACCCCTGCGTCGTACATCCAGAATACGGCGTACCGAGAATGCAGGATGATTATCGATGAGACGGGGGGGAGGAGGGAGGTTGGCAGGAGGGCACAGAGGGCTCTCTAGGACATGTTTAATTTGTGAAACATGGAAAGTTGGATGGATGCGCATTGAAGCCGGAAGACTCAACCTGACAGCCGACGGATTAATCAGTCTAACAATAGGAAAAGGACCAATGAAGCGAGGGGCCAACTTCTTGGGATAGTCCTTTAAATTAATGTCCCTGGTGGACAACCACACCTTCTGGCCGACTGAGTAGGATGGAGCCTTGGAACGGTGGCGATCTGCCATCCTCTTGGTTGCAGCCACGGTGCGAAGTAACGCTGCTTTGGTTTGACGCCAGATGCACCTACAGCGTCTGAAATGGTGCTGTACTGATGGTACAGCAACCTCAACTTCTTGGCTGGGGAAGAGAGGTGGTGCATAACCCAGGGAGGCCTCAAATGGAGACAACCCGGTAGCAGAAGAGGTATGCGTGTTGTGGGCATACTCTACCCAGACCAGGTGTTGAGACCATGCAGATGGGTTCTCCTGGATGATGCACCGGAGGGTAGCCTCGATCTCCTGGTTGCATCTCTCTGATTGGCTGGTAGACTGGGGATGATAACCAGACGTGAGACTAGACGAGGCACCTAAAGAATTACAAAATGCTTTCCAAACCTGAGAAACGAACTGTGGACCCCTGTCGGATACCACGTCCGCAGGAATGCCATGAATACAAAAAACATGTTGTACCAACAACTGGGCTGTCTCTAAGGCGGAGGGTAGCTTGGTCAGGGGAACGAGATGAACCGCCTTGGAGAACCTGTCGATAATAGTAAGGATGACAGTGTGGCCTGCTGATGGAGGTAACCCGGTGACAAAGTCCAAAGAAATATGAGACCACGGCCGACTAGGAGTAGGGAGGGGCTGAAGCAAGCCTGCGGGTGGTTTATGTCCACTTTTGTTTCTGCTGCAGGTCTGACAGGGGGAGACAAATTCTTTAACATCTTGATTCATAGTGGGCCACCAAAAGTGTATCTTTATTAGAGCCATCATGCGGTTGGTTCCAGGATGGCAAGACAATTTGTTGGTGTGGACCCAATCGAGAACGCGGGCCTTCACCGCTGAGGGTACGAACATCCTGTCCTTGGGGCCGGTCTTGGGATCCGGTTCCGCCTTTTGAGCCTCCAAGACCTCCTCAGTGATAGGCCATGAGAGTGCACCGACCACACAGGACGAAGGGATGATGCTGACCTCCCTCTCACCGTCATCTGATGCTGAGAATTGGTGGGACAAAGCATCTGGTTTGACATTTTTTGAGCCGGGTCTGTAAGTGAGAGAGAAGTTAAAGCGATTGAAAAATATGGACCATCTTGCTTGTCTAGGATTCAGACGTTTAGCATTTTGAATGTAAATCAAGTTTTTGTGATCCGTCCATATGAGAAATGGAACATCGGTGCCCTCTAACCAATGTCGCCATTCTTCTAGAGCCATCTTGACGGCCAGGAGTTCTCTATTTCCCACATCATAGTTCTGTTCAGCCATAGACAAACGTTTAGAAAAAAAAGCACAGGGATGTATTTTATTATCCTCTCTACATCTCTGAGACAGGACAGCTCCCACCCCTGTATCGGAAGCATCCACCTCCAAAATAAACTGTCTCTTGGGGTCAGGGTGGCAGAGAATAGGAGCAGAGGAGAACAGATCCTTGAGTTTGTTGAAGGCTGAATCTGCTTCGGGAGTCCACCTGAAGGTCTGTAGTGTAGAGGTGAGCTGAGTGAGAGGGGCTGCCACCTGACTGTACCCCTTAATGAACCTCCTGTAGAAATTGGCGAATCCCAGGAATCGTTGCAGCTGCTTACGGTTTTCCGGGACGGGCCAATCCACCACTGCATTAACCTTGTTGGGGTCCGTGCGATATTGTCCTCCTTCAAAAATAAAACCAAGAAATGAGACCGTGGAGACGTGGAACTCACACTTTTCAGCCTTCGCATAGAGTTGATTTTCGAAAAGTCTTTGTAAAACTGACCTGACATGATGGGTGTGTTGTACCGGGTCAGTGGAGTAAATGAGAATGTCATCCAAATACACAAAGACAAACTGGTTCAGAAAATCACGGAGAACATCATTAACTAAAGCTTGAAAAACTGCTGGGGCGTTGGTGAGGCCAAATGGCATGACCAGGTATTCAAAATGTCCTAACAGGGTCTTGAAGGCTGTCTTCCACTCGTCTCATTCTTTTATTCTCACGAGATGATAGGCGTTACGAAGGTCCAGTTTTGTGAAAATAGTGGCTGAATGAAGTTGCTAATAGATAGAGTCGATCAGAGGCAGGGGGTACTTGTTCTTAACAGTAATTTGGTTAAGCCCTCTATAATCAATGCAGGGCCTTAACGTCTTATCCTTCTTAGAAACAAAGAAAAATCCCGCTCCTACAGGGGAAGTAGAGGGGCGAATAATACCGGAATTTAATGACTCTTCTATATAATTTTTCATAGTCTCTTTCTCTGGGCCTGAAAGGTTAAACAATCTGCTAGAGGGGAGGGGAGCTCCCGGCAGCAGATCAATGGCACAGTCATACGGTCTGTGAGGAGGCAAAGATAGTGCCTGAGATTTACTAAATACTGCTTTTAAGTCAAGGTATGCGGAAGGAACATTGGACAAATCAGATTCTTCTGGTATCTCCTCTGTCTTTTTACATGAGGAGGAAATGGCTGACCATAAGCAATTATTTAAACAGAAAGAGCTCCATCTTTCAATTCTTTGTCTCCCAGTTAATCACGGGGTTGTGAGTCTTTAACCAAGGGTAACCTTGGCCTCTCGGTCCTCCTGGGCAGCAGGGCCGCCCGAATGCCCGCCAGAACTCCTCCCAGAGCGACGGTCACTCCTCTCAGCATGTCTGCCGAGCTCCTCGTCACTGCGGACAGCCAACTGTAGGTGCTGATGGACGATCCTGTTCTTCTGCTGTCATGAGCCGTGTTTCCTGCTAGTTCCAGGATCTCAGTTTTCAGGCACTTGAGCGCAGCTGGCAGGTAGATGAGAATGCGTCCACAAAACATCCTTTTCAACTCATTTGAGATTGGGGGCTGTAGTTGAGATATTATTTGAGCTTTTGAGATGTTAATCAGCTGCTGTTGTTGTAGAAAACTGCCTTGTTGCCATGGTTACACATCATAACAAATGTCCAAAACTAAAAAAAGTTTCAGTAAAAATCCTTCCAGCTGCACAGCATCTGATACCAGAGGAAACAGTCATCCAAAAAATGTGATTTACATCCAGAAAAAGAGGAATTAAAGTTTCCAAAAGCAAAATCTCAGAATGAAAGTAACAGAGCTGCTCCAACATGCAGCCACCTTGAGCGGCACAATTCTAGAACAAAAGTGGAATGAGCTCTAACAACAAACACTTTACCCTAGAAAAGGGCCAAATAACTGATGGTGAGCTCAGTTTGGCCCACCAATGGGTTCATTTAAATAAAACTAGATTTTAAACTGTAAAACCAGGAGTGGTGGTGCAGAGGTTGGAGAAGATGGGCCTGTAATCGGAAAGTTACAGGTTCAACTCCCCGAACTGACAACATCAAAATGTAGGTGGAAAAGGTAAAACACCCAAAACTGCCTCCACCCTCATTTGCCTCACCCTGTGCCAATGAGCAAGGCCCTTAACCCCCACCAGCTCCCAAAAAACGGGTCTCTCTTGAAAATGAGTTCTCTTGTTCTAGAATTGCGCCGCTCATTGGCTGCATGTTGGAGCAGCTCTGTTACTTTCATTCTGAGATTTTGCTTTTGGAAACTTTAATTCCTCTTTTCTGGATGTAAATCACATTTTTTAAATGGTTGTTTCCTCTGGTATTGGATGCTGTGCAGCTGGAAGGATTTTTACTGAAACTTTTTTAGTTTTGGACATTTGTTATGATGCGTAACCATGGCAACAAGGCAGTTTTCTACAACCAACAGCAGCTGATTAACATCTCAAAAGCTCAACTAATATCTCAACTACAGCCCCAAATTACAAGTGAGTTGAAAAGGATGTTCTGTGGATGCATTCTCATCTACCTGCCAGCTGTGCTCGAGTGTCTGACCACTGAGATCCTGGAACTAACGGGGAACACGGCTCATGACAGCGGAAGAACAGGATCGTCCCTCTGCACCTACAGTTGGCTGTCCACAGCGACGAGGAGCTCGGCAGACTGCTGGGAGGAGTGGCCATCACTCTGGGAGGAGTTCTGCCAGCATTTGGGTGGTCCTACAGCCCGAGGGAACCGAGAGGCCAGCGGAGTCTGGATGGACGAATCAGACGGCATCTGCAGCCATTTTCTTAGGATCCACTGTGGGATGGACCTTTACAGGAGATCCTTCCTGTTTACAACCATCAGCATCTATAACATCTTTTAATGAAATGAGGATAACGAGTTACAACAACAAATAATTTCCCTCTGGGATTAATAAAGTATTTTTGAATTTGAATTGAATTGACTCAATGAAACCAACTGTATAAATGATGCGTACATTTAAAAATTAAATTAAATTAAAAACAAGCTTACCCATTGACTTTAATTGCTGGATGCCCGGCCCCTAACTGTGTCCCCTGAGCAATTTAGTTGAATGGACATGCCTCAGAGAGAACACTTTTTTTTTTTCCAGAAAACCCACCAGCAGTTTTACAGTTTAAAATCAGATATTGGTCTGTAATTATTATGTTGCTACAATAAGCAAAAGCGTTTTGTCAATATTCAGGACCGTCTTATTTAATTCCTTTCAGTGAGACAAATTCGTTGTTTGAGTGTTTATTTTTTTTTTTTGATAAAGCATACTTTTCATTTATTTATTTTTTGTGGGCGTTTTTAATCCGGTGTATCTCGTGTCCGAGCCTTACGACTAGTCCTTGAACGCCTCGTGAGACGTGTCTGTTTCCCTACTTCCTTCGTATTTCCGGTTTATTATTTCCCACCTCAGTGTAGATCCCGAACGAAAATAAAATGCGATAGATAAACTTTACAGCTGAGCTGTGGTCAATGACAGCTTCATTACTGAGTCTAGGCGTACTTTACCCACCGCTCTTTTAAATGTCAGTGCTTTGGATTCGAGGGGTGTAGCAGGAACGGAAAAAACAACCATGCAGTTTTCACCGACAAACGGAGATTTCACATTCGTCTCCTCTTCGGAAGCTGAAGGTATGCTAACGCTAGCAGGCCTTAAAAACTGACACGGATCGGGTAATATTTCCAGTCGGTTTTATCCTAGGATGTTTACGTTTTAGTTTTTAATAAGTTCAGAAAATAAACATATTCAGGGTCTCTTTGTTAATGTTTAACAGCGTTATAATGGATAAATAAAATGGAAGTGTTTGTAAATGCGTTGTGGGAAAAACAAAACGGTAACAAGAACCAAAGCGAATTAGCGAATAAACTGGGACTTTATTTATTCCTTTTTATTGTTTATATTACGAGATCTATTTAAAAAAAATTAATAAGCTGTTTTGTTTTATTTTCTCTGAAATTTAAACTGTTTTGTCGCCAATTGTTCACAGTATACAAATACGCCTGGATTTACTTCTCAGCAATAACATTAAACACCTAAACATGCCTAATATACTTATATAAATATATCTATGAAGTAATGTAAATTGAATAGAGTGAACACGGCAATTTATGTCCATTATAATTTACTATATTTCAACATGAATTAATTTTAAATGAATTAATTTTAAAGAATGTGAAAATACTAGGGGTGCACGATAAATCAGCTGCGATTTCCTTAATTTTGGGAAAATGGAAATCGGCCGATACTTGCACGAGAAACCATCCATCCATCATCTTTACCCGCTTCTTCCTTTTTGGGTCACAGGGGTCACTGGTGCCCATGTCCAGCAATCACTGTGCGAGGGGCGGGGGACACCCTGGACGGGTCGCAAGTCCATCACAGGGACACATAGAGACAAACGAGACAAACATTCACTCTCTCACTCACACCTAGGGACAATTTAGAGTTACCAATCAGCCTAACATGCATGTTTTTGGTCTGTGGGAGGAAACTGGAGAAAACCCACACATGCACGGAGAGAACATGCAAAGTCCACACAGAAAGGTCCCTGGACCAGGATTTGAACCAGGGACCTTCTCGCTGAGAGGCAGCAGCTGTACCAGTTGCACCACCGTGCTGCATGAGAAACCGATTATACCCATTTTTTTTTAGTTTTAACAATTGTCTGAACTTCGTTTATATTTCAGAGCACTACCTCATGGCCAGTTAAAACCAGTTTGTATTGTTTTTAGGATATTGTTCAAGGGTATGTTTTTTCAGTAAAATAATAAAATAATATTGGAAAATTGAAGGTGCATTGTGACCTTCTAACACCTGACATTGTTGCTTGTTAAATAAAATCGGTATCGGACAAAATCTGATTCGGCAGGTCAGACTGTTTACAAATCAGCGATCGGCCAGAAAACTGCAATCGGTGCACCCCTAGAAAATACCATGTGCATGGCATAAAAAAAACATACAAACAATATTGTTTACTTTTTTGTACTTAGCAGGGGCATTTTGTACTGATGTACTTAACATATAATCTCCTGCTGTTATAAAAATTATTGGAATCACATACACGACTATAAAAAACCCTCTTTAGTCACAAAATGTATTGTGGCAATGAAAATGCTTCATATTGCCCTGTGGATTATATATTTTAGTTCTATTCAAAGATTGAAGATGCCAGATTTGAGTGGTATATAAAATGTCAGTGTGATCTAGTGTATACCCAGTTGGTATTTGCCTCTGTGCACATTATTGCTTTTTCCAGTCATTTATTAGCTTTGTTAGTCTTCACAAAGAAGGACAATTACTCGTGAAAATGTCCTGTTTTGTTAATATATTATGCTGCTGTGTGTTTGTGTGTTTAAAAAAAAAGCCCACCGTCTGAAAGCATCGTTCTGTCCACAGAACTGAGCGGCACCATCAGCACGCCCGACGTTAAGCTGAACATGGGCAGTGATGGCGGTAAAGATCCGTACGCTACCACCTTCCTGAGGCAACGGGGCTACGGTTGGCTGCTGGAGGTGGAGGAAGAGGAAAACGAAGAAAGTAAACCTCTTCTGTAAGGATGAGGTTTATCTAATCTGTTCACTTTCTTTAAATCCATTGGGGAAAAGTAAAACCGAGTCACATTCTGTTGGTTTCTGATGATGTCTTGTGAAAAGTTGCGAGCGGAGAACTTGATAGGGCAGGCGTGAAACTGTCAGGCTGGATGGTAACTGTAAAACTGATTCTAAAAAGAAATGGTGTATGGTTTTATTTTTATGTTTGCACCTCACAAACTGTTCTGACCAACTCTTATCATTATCAGAGCTGTTGGAGACACTGGGTTGGATGGTGTGATATTCCTGTACGTCCATAAATTATGTTGTGGCAAACAGCGTTACTGGCGTCATAGAAAGGCTTGTGATGTTATTTTATTGCTGTGCATAATTTAGAGCATTTTAAAGCTTTATAATATATTTTAACCTCTCTTTCTTAGATTAAAGATTCAAACAAAACTATCATTATTTATATTGTTGCATCACAGAGCAAAGTGATTTAAAGAACACATAAATGAGGCTTAAGCAAAATATTCACAGCATTACTGTAATGTTAAAGTTGCTCGCTCTATCCAAAAGTTGCAGTTTATACTTTAAAATGCACAACTTAATCCAACAGGATTAAATTAGAAGCAATAATCACAGGACTATCATTGCTATTTACAAACATAAAAGCAGTAGCAGAGACTTCTCGCACTTCTGGGGACATCTAAGGGACACATCTGTCCCAAGTGTGTGTGTGTGCGTGTGTGCGTGCGTGCGCGCGCGTGTGCGTGCGTGCAGAGCCTCAGTGATTCTGTCGTCGTCTGTTGTGTGAGCAGGGAAGAGCTGGACATCGACCTGAAGGACATTTATTATAAGATCCGCTGCGTGCTGATGCCCATGCCATCCCTGGGTTACAACCGGCAGGTAGTAAGAGACAATCCAGACTTCTGGGGTCCTCTGGCTGTGGTGCTCCTTTTCTCCATGATTTCAATCTACGGACAGTTCAGGGTAAGTGGACCACAGTCAGCACAGCTGGGCACATCTGTATTCAGCTTTTTTCTACAATGTTGTTTGTTAGCTTGGCTTAGCTGGTCAGCACTTTGCCGTCATCCTAACTATGGTATTATTTCTGAACACGCTTAGACATTTAATTTTTTTAGAAATATTTAATAAATAAAACATTAACTTTTCAAAATTATAATTGCATGAACTATTTAAATGTGTGGACAGTAGTCCCTCGCTACTTCGTGGTTCGTTTATCGCAGACTCGCTCTGTCGTGGTTTTTCAAAATAAGAGTGGACATGACACACAATTGGCTGATTGATGGATGAGCTGCACGATCAGCATGGATGTTTTATTTAAAATAAATTATTTTAAATTATTTAGCACCTGCTGCACCTGTGTGCAGCCCAGAGCTGCAGGATAAACTTCCTGCTGCAGCTGATCAGCTGTTCTCCAAGCAGAGTGTAGAAGTGGGCGTGGCCAAGAGTGCTTGCAGGTGGCTGAGATCAGATGAGGTAGAGAGAGGGAAAGAATATTACAAGAGTGTGGGAATGGCTTAAAATGCCATATATATATATAAAAATACACTACTACTTACTACTATTCCTTTTTCATGGTTTTTCACTTATTGTGGGTCTTCAGGGTACGGATCGGATCCCCTGCGATAAACGAAGGACTACTGTACATCTGCAGCTGCTAAAATTTAAACTTGCTCACCCATAAAAACCAGTTCTCATGGTTTGTTCCAAGAATGAGCTGTAATGCTGTCTTTGTTTGGTAGAAACAAGCTACTTTCTTTGTAGAATCCATTTTAACTTATTTTGTAAATCATGAGTACAGTATTTATATTCATTAACAATTTTGACAGTTCAGAAAACAGCTGGGAATACTCTGGAGTCCTTAGACGTCTTGTCTGTTATTAAATGTGTTCGCAGGTTGTGTCTTGGATCATCACCATCTGGATCTTTGGCTCTCTAACCATCTTCTTGCTGGCTCGTGTTCTTGGGGGTGAAGTAAGTGCTGCTGACAGTCCTGCATGGTCTCTAACTTTTAGTGGTTCCACATCCAAACTGCGTGTGAGTCATCTTGTTCTTCTGTGCAGGTTTCTTACGGCCAGGTTCTCGGAGTGATTGGATATTCTCTTCTTCCTCTCATCGTCATCGCTCCTCTGCTCGTAGTGATCAGAGGGCTTGAGGTGGTTTCCACACTAGTCAAAGTGAGTCAGAGGGCACTTTTATATTTCTGTCTACTTTTAAGTACTTTGATTGGATTCAAAATGTAACTTGGAAGAAGATGTGCTGGAACTCTGATCACGGATTTAACATGAATTCATCTTTTAAATAGTATTATTCGTTTTTCTCCTGTTAATACCAAGTATGATTATGAGTGTACTCTTAAAAACTGTCTTAATTAAGCTTAATATTTTTCACATTTTCCATTTCATGTGGATGATGGAGTCAGCATAACTACTTCAAAATTGATAAATAATATTTAAATCACCTTTAGAGCAATTTGATAAATAATAAAAATAACAAAAATAACTGTCATCCTTTAAATAGCTTCACTATTTATATTCATGTTTGTTACATTATAAAAGGTAACTCATATAATTTAATAACGATGGACCACCGGCCTCGAAGATGGATGGATGGATGGATGGATGGATGCTTTCTTTCTTTCTGAATGAATCCATCCATCGCAGGGGGACATTCAAGGCATCCAGTAGCATGTTCTAATCATACAGAAAACAACACATGAAATAATCTAAAAAGAAGTAGCATAGCAAGAGGCACATGGAGGTTCTGTTCAGGTGCAGCGCTTGCAGCAAAATTAGCTTCTTTTTTTTAAGGTGGGAAAAAAGCTCCAGAAACACAACCTTTGTCTCACTTTGTATTCATCAAATGGTTTACTTTCAGTAACCCATGTATTTTGATAAATAAATAAATAGTGCCACAGTTGAGAAAAACTTAAATGCTCAATTGTTACCTTGAACTAAGTTTTTATTAATTGTTTTTTTTTTATAATTAATAGTCTCTAAATTAGTTAGTTTTAGTAAATCTCACTGTTTTCATACCTGCTTTGAGAAACAATGTTAAGAACCAGAGTAAAGATGTGTGGACTGAAGTTCTCTGTCGTTGTGACAGATTTCTGTCATTTTGAACGATTTCCATCATCTGTAAAAATGATGAGGGTAAAAAGTCCTGTGTTCTGTTGTTAAAACAATCCAGTCTGATACTGACACTGCTGTCAACCAGTAAAGAGAACCAGAGCCACCGTTGACCCAATCAGAGCAGGGCGGGTCCTGGTGTCTGCTTCACAGTGAGCCCAGGTGTGAGCAGAGAGAACCTGCAGGTGAAAGCTCACCTGCAGCAAGTCCAGGAGGACACCTCACTACACTAACAGGACCGCCCACCCCTTCATGAGGAGGATGATGATGATGTAATAATTTATTAAACGTTCGCGAATATTATAATATTATATTTACAGCAAATATGTGTGTTTCCATTTAACTTGAAATTTGCCCCAAACTATCAAAGTTCTCTCTGAGTCAGTTTCAGGTGTTTGTAGTTTACCATCAATATCTAAATAAATTCATTTCTACACGGTGTTTTAACAATTACAAGGTGTTCTGGCTGAGTGGATGAGCTAAACTTGATTATATTTAGAAACATACTGAGAGGTAATTGTACTGTGATAAATGTAATGGGTCAACTATGACAAAAAGTATAAAGTAACTACATGAACTGAAATCCTGTAAATAATGAATGAAATAATAATTTCAAGAGAGAAATCTTGTCAGTCTGACAAATTTAACAATTTTTTAAAGTTAATTTATTGTCTGCAAAGGACTTACCGTGCTATAATGTATTAAAATATATCTGACTACCCCTCAGTTGAAAACACTGAAACTACATCAAAGTAAACTACAGAGAAGTTGTTAAAACCCAAAGCAAATTGAACTGTTCCTTAAACTGCAGGAGTTGCTTCAGTGGTGTGATTAGTCATCGTCCTCCTGAAATTCCCTCCCAGTCTCAAATTTCTGAAAGGCTCACGTTTCTCTTAAGATTGTCTCCATATTTTGCTCCATCAATCTTCCCTCGACTCGAACCAGTTTCCCAGTCCCTAAGCATCTCCACAACATGATTCTGCCACCACCATGCTTCACTGCAAAAATAATCTTGTTTTTAAGTAATTTTTTTAACAATGAGATTTTTTTTTTCCTCTGATAACCCCCTAATTTCCCCCCGACTTATTATTGTTGTTCCTTCATAAAGTCCAGCTGTGTGCAGCTTATAGTGGTCCAATGGACACACCCTCTCCTCTCTGCAGAAGAGTTTCTCACATTAATGTCGTTGTTCAGAAGCTTTGCTCACAGGTTTGCTGTGGTGGAATAATTTATGTTTGAAGATTATTAAAACGGTTTATCCCCATTTAACGCATCATCTATAGCATTCTGTATATGTTCATTAATGATCAAATTTAAAAAATCAATTTAACTTGCAGGTTTGAAGAACTCCAATTGTGTGAATATTTTTGACTTGATGTGAAATATTACTGACAGCCAGGAGTGGTGAAATTATGATTGGAAAACAAAGAGCTGAAATAGTTTTTGTTGATTTCTTACAGTTTTATGTTTAAAAACTTGTTTTTAGAATGAAATGAGTTCAATATAACATTTTGTTCATGTGTCCAAATGTTTTTTTTAATTCTTATGAAAGTGTCTTGAACTCTGTTGAATCCGTGATGTGACCCTGTTCTCTCCTTCCAGCTCTTTGGAGTGTTCTGGGCGGCGTACAGCGCTGCTTCACTACTCGTCGGAGATGAATTTAAAACAAAGAAGCCCCTTCTCATATACCCCATCTTCCTTTTGTACATCTACTTCCTGTCCCTATATACTGGTGTGTGACTGGATCAGAGAGGACTGTGGACCTTCTTACGGACAGTGACTTTGGTGCATGGAGGGAAAAGTCGTATAATACTATAAAATTTGTTTTTAACAAAGCTGTTCATTTCCTTTTCTAAACGCTGTTCAGTTTTGGACAGTGGGGTTGTGGAGAATACAGAATATTGTAAATAGTTTTGTTCTTCCTGTCTTTGGTCAATAAAATGCGTATGATTTTACAGCTTGGACCTTGTTTTCAGATGTCTCGATCACTGGGACCATTCTGTTCCCATATTTCTGCATTCGTTTCTAGTTTTTGAACCTGAACATAATTGTGGGGTTGTCTCATTTTTAATCCAATTTGCCAAATATTTGTGTGCATACAAAATGTTTATGATGGAGCAGAACTAGCCTGCACCACTGTACGTTTCCTCACTGTTACACGCTGTAATGTTGCACAACAATTGTCCAATAATGTTTTCCAGCTTTCACACTTATTATTTCTGATGTTCTGTAGAGCCCCTGAAGTGTCTTTTTTTTGTTGTGTGCACATTTTGATTATGTTTGTGTCTAAATTTATATTTATATTTGCAAAAGTGCCCACACTAAATAACAACGTCCTCAAGATAAATGTCTTGTCGCTTCAGGGGTTCCACAGTTTATCAGAAGCAGAATCAGGTTGATGGTCATGCTGGATGTGGTGCCTTGTTTTCTCCACCTTGAGCTCTGTCTGATGAATAATTAAAGTAAAGTAGCAGAATTATTTGTCAGGTCAAATATTTTTCATTAATTCATACACCTTTAACTCAACTTGTTACATTCTGACAATAAAAATAAACTATGAAAACATTTGTAAGTACATTATCATTAAGGGCAAACGCATGTCTTTTTTCATAATGCCTGTTAAGCAGGCCAAAAATACATCGACAAGAAACACGTTGAAGCACCCTAATGAGTTCAAGATGAGACCATCTCTAACGAGATGTTGGAAATAAAATGAAACTTTGTCATTTCATGCACTGTAGTAGCCCCTTTAACAACAACACTTTAAAAACTTTGGGTTGAAACGTATTTTACCACTACGATTCAAGAACAGATTGCACTGTGGCTGAATGGTGATTTATGAACGACCAGTTGTCATCTTTGCAGCCATATTGTGGAGCTGTTTTGTGAAAGAGGTTAATTATTACAGGCAGCACGGTGGTGCAGTTGGTAGAGCTGCTGCCTCTCTGTGAGCAGGTCATCCTGATTCAAATCCTGGGCCGGGGGCCCCTCTGGGTGGAGTTTGCATGTTCTTTAACAATTATTTAACCGGTTTGATTCTAGAATTCTAGCTCTGTTACATTCGTTTTGAAATTTTGTTTTTGGAAACTTTTAATTCCTCGTTTTCTGGATGTAAATCACTTTTTGGATGATTACTTCCTCTGGTATTGGATGCTGTGCAGCTGGAAAGATTTTTTACTGAAACTTTTATTTTTGGACATTTATGATGCGTTTTTTTGTTGTTTTTTTACAACGAAGATGCTGATTAACACCTCAAAGCTCAAATAATAGCTCAGCTACAGCCCTAAATGTGTTGAAAAGGAGGTGCCATAGATGCATTCCCATCTTCTTGCCAGCTGTGCTCTAGTGCTTGACCACTGAGATCATGAAACTAGCAGGAAACACGACTCGTGACAGCAGAAGGACAGGATCGTCTCCCGGCACCTGCAGCCGGCTGTCTGCAGCGATGAGGTGCTCAGCAGACTGCTGGGAGAAGTGGCCATCGCTCTGGGAGGAGTTCTGCCAGCATTCGGGCGGTCCTGCAGCCTGGAGGAACCGAGAGGCCAGCTGAGTCTGGGTGGACAGATTGGTCAGCATCTGCGGCCAGTTTCTTCAGACTCACTGTGGGACGGACCTTTACAAGAGATCCTTCCTGCCTACAGCCATCAGCATCTATAACATCTCAATGAAATGAGGATAATGAGTTACAACAAGATTTAATTTCCCTTTGGGATTAATAAAGTATTTTTGAATTGAATTTGAATTGAATTGAATTGTTCTCTTCATGCATGCATGGGTTTTCTCCAGGTACTTCCGTTTCCTCCCACAGATCAAAAACATGCATGTTAGACTGATTGGTAACTCGTCTCCATGTGTCCCTGTGATGGACTGGAGACCTGTCCAGGGTGTCCCCCGCCTCTTGCACAGTGATGGCTGGACATGGGCACCAGTGACCCCCACAACCCAAAAAGGAAGAAGTGGGTAAAGATGATGAGTGGATGGATAATTATTACAATCTGAGATGGTGTGTAGTACTTTGGGCACACTGAAGGTTTTGTTTTGTAGGATGTGGCTTGTTTCTGGATACAAATGGAAATAGTTTTACAGCCATATTTATCTCTCAGCTGTTGCAAATGGCTCTTGAGATTCAGCAAATTGGCACAGGGTCGAAGTTGATTTTCAAGCTGGTCCCACACATTACAATAAGTATATATCAGAGGACCTGGCTGTCCACAGGAGGACCACAACATGAAGCAGGCAGTCCACAAAAACATGGCTGTCTTGTTAAAAGGCTGTAGGCTGATATATTGGGATGGGTAAGACATAGATTTACAATGTCACTGATGTAGTGATGTGATTCCAGGATCCCTTGAATCTATCAGAAGTGACCTGAAGTCAGATTTTGTTTCTGCACACCATAGTACCTGGGGCTACACCAATCTGTTTCTCCACAACATTGTCAGGATTTGTCTCGAGCGACCATCTGAACACACTGGTCATTCAAGGTAGTGTAGAACTGTTGCTAAACACGATACAGCTTGTCATCAATCCATCCCTCCTGGTTATGACACTGATCCTGACTCATATGGTGTTAATGTCTACACATGGGGAAATGAATGTTGTAGTTGGACTGATACTGATTGTGGAGACACTCCTTGTTTGGAGTGGTCTGTTTTGGAGGACCAGAATCCTTCCAGCAGATGTGGGTGCCCTCTCCTACCCACTGGTTCCAGCATCAGTCCACTGTGGCATCTCATTGCTCGTCTACAACTGGTCCAAAATGCTGCAGCCCGATTTTTAACTGGTACAGGCTATAGAGAGCACATCACGCCAGTTTTGGCCTCCCTGCACTGGCTACCCATTCACCTTCGGATCCATTTCAAAATTCTCATGTATGTTTTTAAATCACTGAACAGTTCCGCCCCATCCTATCTCACTGATCTTCTGCAGCCATATGTCCCACCGCGCTCTCTGAGGTCAGCAGACCAGATGCTTCTCTCAGTCCCAGAAACCCGTCGTAAGCTCAGAGGTGACAGGGCTTTCTCTGTTGCAGGTCCACGACTGTGGAATGAGTTGCCACTGACTGTCCGGCAGGCTCCCACACTCTCAGTCTTTAAGTCTCGCTTGAAGACCCACTTCTATTCGCTTGCCTTTAACACGGTGTGATTTGTTTTGGTCCGGTCTGTTCTCTACTCTGTTGGCCATTTTAGTTAGCTTCTGCTGCTATTTGTATCTGTATTTCTATTTTATGTTTTCCTGTCCGCTGTGCATGTTTGTGTTCTTTTGTACAGCACTTTGGTTGGCCTTGTTGCTGTTTTAAGTGCTCTATAAATAAATTGGTATGGTATGGTATCTGTATTTCCCACATGTTGGGCAATGTCAGAATCTGGTCTCATACAAACCCACAACATGACCTCCATCAAATTCCAAGTTCTGGCAATGCTGTCTAACTGGTCTACAAGACATCTGCTGACCTTCAATGACTGTTTTGACTGATTATTAAATTTCTAAAGACACTATCACACCACTTGTGACCCCTGGTGCTCGTTCTTGTTGTGTTAGCTGCATGCAAATCATTTAAATATTTGACAGTGGTCTAAACTGCACCATCATCATAGCTTATGCTAGCCCATCTTATCTCATATCCACTATAAAGAGAAACATCTTTCAAAATCAGTACTTTGAATGTGAGAGATTATTCTCTGATTCAGGGTTCTCATTAGGACTTGCAGCAGGCAGGTAAAAAATAAAAAGCAATTTCATTAAGAAATTTAAACAAGAAAAAATATACAAGACAGTAGCTTATGCACTGGATGGTAAATAACTCAAAAGTTTTCTTGTTAATTTCTCAGTTAACTTTCAAACATAAACACCACCACTTTTGGGATTTACAAAGGAAATGTGCACTGCCAGCAGCAGATTTCAAGTCAGATAAGAAACTATAAATATAACTTGATGAGATGCCCATGTGCTACTGCTTCAAAATCTATCAACTGAGAATTGGTTCTTCCTCTTCATCTTGTTTTTTTTATTTATTTTTTTAATTATTATTATTATTTTTAACTCTATAGGTGGCATGGTGGTTCAGTTGGTAGAGCTGCTGCTTCTCAGCGAGCAGGTTGCCTGTTCAAATCCCGTCCGTGGACCTTTCTGGGTGGAGTTTGCATGTTTTCTCCATACTGCGCGGGTTTTGTCCGTGTACTCCAGTTTCCTCCCACAGACCAAAAACATGCATGTTAGACTGATTGGTAACTCTAAATTGTCCCTAGGTGAGAGACAGAGAGTGAATGGGTGTTTGTCTCATTTGTCTCTATGTGTGTCTCCCTGTGATGGACTGGAGACCTGTCCAGGGTGTCCCCTGCCTCTCGCACAGTGACTGCTGGACATGGGCACCAGTGACCCCCGTGACCCGAAAAGGAAGAATCAGGTAAAAGATAATGGATGGATATTTTTTTTTTTTACCAGACACTAGTCCCTGACCGCTTAAATATTACACCGCAATATATACAATATATACAATATATACACTATATACAATATTATATTTAATATTGTACTGCTGACTGTAAAATATTGTTTAATTAACAAAAACTGACTCAAAAACATACACATCAGTAATTCATTGTAATTTCATGTAAACCAGATTTTTGTACAGGGGTATAGCTGGTAAGTCATTGCTAAATTAAATCCTGTAATGGTTCAGGATCAAAAGAAATTAAAACAAGTGCCCATTTCCTGAAAGTCAGTTTTGGTGAGAATGTACACATCTCAGCCAGTTTGTGTGCAAGGGAAAGACAATTTAAAAAAACCGATTATAATAAAGTAACGGATTATTATTGCTTGACAGCAATACGCTTCCGTACAATATATTATCACATTTGTACAATATAATTATCATGTTTGTACAATATAATTATCATGTTTGTACAATATAATTATCATGTTTGTACAATATAATTATCATGTTTGTACAATATAATTATCATGTTTGTACAATATAATTATCATGCTTGTACAATATAATTATCATGTTTGTACAATATAATTATCATGTTTGTACAATATAATTATCATATTTGTACAATATAATTATCATATTTGTACAATATATTATCACATTTGTACAATATATTATCACATTTGTACAATATATTATCACATTTGTACAATATAATTATCATGTTTGTACAATATAATTATCATGTTTGTACAATATAATTATCATATTTGTACAATATATTATCACGTTTGTACAATATAATTATCATGTTTGTACAGTATAATTATCATGTTTGTACAATATAATTATCATATTTGTACAATATAATTATCATATTTGTACAATATATTATCACATTTGTACAATATAATTATCATGTTT